TAATTGTAAGATCTAGCGCCCAGAGCTAGAGAGTAGGGGTGCCCCCCTCCCTCCCAACTACATTTTTACCCATATGCAACTTCCGATGACTACTTTCGATGACAGTAATCTCGATGTTATCTGCCTCAAGCCATTACACATTTTTGGGAGAAACCTAGTTATTTAAAGTTCCGGTCAAAAACTGTTCATTTTTCTCGATACTGTTCATTTTCATTCTTGGTTGATGCTTCTTTGAGATGGATGGAAATGTTGGTAAAAGAACTGCATCACCTACAACGTTGCTTCCCCAATTTTTTAAATGTTTTTTCTTGAAAAACAGTTCACGTTGAAAAAATCGTCTGAAAACGGAAAAGTGGAAGAAAATGAGATTTCTCCCTAAGGTGAACCTGTGACCTCCAAGGATAGCTTGAGGGACGCTGTCGGGTCGATAAAACCGACGTACACGCCTCAAAGCGGACGAGTTCTCACGGCGATGCGGGACTATAGAGGTAGCACCATTCGCACTAGGACTTACACCTTGCACGCAGGCAGCTTACTGTAGTCAGCTGTATGCAAAGGCGTGCGCATTTGAACAGCTCGTCCAAATATCTGCTCCATGCAGCATTTTTCGTAAAATTCTTGTCTAACCCATAATTTTACTTCTTTTTTGAAGCCTTATATTTCTACCAATACGCTGTTTTTCATTCTGGGCGATCATTTCCATTGTTAACCGTAAGTCAGGCACCCCAAAGTTGTCGTGAACTGTGCCTGGCAATTCATTTCTTTTGGCAATTCGATTTCATCAACAGCTTTTCGCTTTTCTTTTTCACTTGGATCTATCTACTCCGTAGTTCTTTTTACTTATTTTTTAAAATCTAATTTCACTTATTAGTCAAATCACGTGAAGGTGTAGATGTGTGGTGTACTTATGTGATTTGTGATTACTGTTACCCGTCACGAGAGTAGATATGAATGAGGCAAATAGCACAAAACAGTGAAAATTGTTTGTTTACATTAGTTAGCAGTAATTAAGACCAATACAAAACGATAGTTCAAAACCCCGTGACCTCCTCCTCGTGATAAGCAAAACAATTAATTAATTTTAGCGTGCAATATGGTTATAGCTCACAGTACGCAATCGCACGATGCGAGTGGAGGTGTTTTTACGTATCGTTCAAAATCGCGCCATATGGAGACCCTTTTTTTACTATTTATATTTACATTTAATTAGTCCTGAAACCCTTTATTCCACGTGATTGTCTTTAAATCTGTTCATTGAGTTTGAAAGTTCATTGAATCTGAAATTTGAGTGGCGAAGAATCTAGTCGCCATACGCCTGGTATGGCTGCGGAAGATCTTAAAGGTGCATGGAGTTTCCATACCTTTAGGGGCACTCGTTTCCCTTCCCTTTTTTGCTTTCGCAACTTCTTTGTAAATTGATTCCTATGAAACTTGAAAGTATGTGAAATGTTAGTCCATCTTTTGGAAACTAAGGCTATCAAAGGATTTCGAATAGTTCTTAAGAACTGTTTATACATTTCGCCCGCAAGAAATGGACGAAAAGTTACCGTAGACGTCTGGTTGAAACTAGTTTCATCCGATCCGATCGCTTTGTTTCTCGTCGCACCGCTGTTGTTTGAATCGTTTTGAACAATAAACATGTTGAACGCTGTAATCGTCGCCACGTTGCGGAGCCGCGTAGTCTAAACTCGTGACTCAGCGGATCGACATCATTCGATCTACTACATATTAGCGTCTACGATTTCAGGTCAACGACATGACACCTATCCCTTATCCAAACGGTTTTGGTAGCCTGACATTCGTTGCCTTCTTGTGAGTCATGAAGAATTTTTCTTTATGCTTGAGATGGCATTACATTTTTCATAAGGCGTTTTGATTGATTGATGTTTTATGGAAGGCAGCATTATTTCAAGCTATTGCTTTTCGTACTTTTGCGAAGCTTCTTTCGCCGTTATTCCTGCAACTGAAATGCCTAATCTTTTTTTCATTTTTCTTCAAGGTTATTGGGAAAAGCTTTCAATGACTAATTGTGAGTGTGACAGATATCAGTATAGTGCATCTCCTGGAACAT